TATATTAAGTAAGTTCGTATACACCAAAATTAAGTTGCAATAAACTTAAGTCACAAGTAATAGGAAAGCATGCTGGAAAAAGATAATTGTGAGATCAGTTTATTATTAACTCATCCCACAATTATCTTATGCAAACATGCTTTCTTGTTAGTTTAATAATATAATTAGGTTTAAAAAAATTGAAAGCTGTAATTCTGGAATATTTGACGCAATATATACTGAATCGGCCTATGCATATTTGCAAATATTCCTAGGTGCCGTACCAAAATAACAATGTCTATCGGCACTTTGCCTTCTGAAGCACTGCCAAAATCACAATAAAGGAATATTTCTTCTTTTTAGGCGAAACCTATGAGTGTGATCGCCAAGCAGACCTTGGCTGGCGAACGATATCGGAACAGGTATGTTTCGCAACGTAATTCGAGTATCCATGAATGTGGTTAGAAAAATTATGTTACAGGCTTTCACGCACTCGTATTCCGTTGCTGGTTTTCTAATACTGCAGATTTTGACACTTAAATTATATATATATATATATATATATAGCCCTAGCTCCTAAAATTGCATTAACTCTTTTCAAAAACTTTCAGGTATCCCACCATCCCCCCATGTTAGCTCAGTACGCTGAAGGCAGAGACTGGCGTGTTTGGCAAGAATTCACCATGACCTCAAAGTTCCGCGGAAAATATCTTCAGGTATATAGATAGAGAACGAATTTGATACAACATTACGATATGCGTTACGAAGCTGGGCCACTTGGCAAATCTCACTTAATGCGTCTGTATTTTACATTGTGCAGGTGATTCCACTGGGTATTGTTCATCTTGAATTTCCCGAGAGTGGTTATCATTTCACGTGGAAGAAGGTTACCACAACGGTCTGTATTAAAAATGAAAGCAGGTAAACTATATTGTGTGAAATATGAACTTTTATATGATTGAAATCATCGATTCGCTTTCGTTAAAAATATAAAATTGTTTAAAATAACTAATTACCCATCACGATTATCGAATCGTTTTATCGAAACTATCTAACCCCTTTTTTAATTGTTGTTTCTAAATTTAAACATCTCCGTCCTTCTGTAGGTACACAACATTATTGTTGGTAAGCTTTGGGTGGACAATCATGGTGACATGGAAATCATTAATCATCAAACAAACGACCGATGTCACGTCAAATTCCATCCCTATTCGTATTTTTCTAGGGATTCCGAGCGTAAGGTAAGCTGATAAGTGCTTCTCATAAGATGAAGATGAAGTAAAGGTTAGGGATTTAAGGGCATATGACTAATGCGTACTTTATAACTTACAGGTCACGGGCGTTGTGACCGATTCGCTGGGTGCAGCTCACTGGATTCTTCAAGGCAAGTGGGACTCAAAGGTATGTCATGTTCAAAGGCTTTTTTTTTTTTATTAAACCTCTCATTTGTATATATATATATATATAATATTATATATATATAGTATCCAATAATGTAACGGCATTGAATTCGTATTCAGACTTGTTACCAACGTCTACCGCTCCCATGCTAAGTGCATCTCAGCATTATTTTTTACAGATGGAGGTTCTTCGAGTAGTAAATACAGCCGATGCAAGAAATGCTTCGGAAGGCGGCAAGCCTATTTTGGAGACAACAACACCCAAAGTTATTTGGAAAAGAGTTATACCTCCGTAAGTCACTTTGCGTAAAAGCGTAAGATTTTGCGCGAGTTTAAGACGATGTTGGAAAACCTCGGGAACTGATTTTTGGAAAAACCAACAATTTGTGTTAAAAACGTTTATAAATTCAAATATTTATTAAACAGTAAGTATGTACAACATAAAACTTGTTCACTTTTTATAAGTAGGAGCGAGTACGAAAAAATGTACAATTTCACCGTGTTGGCATGCCAGCTCAATGAACCGGAAGATGGTGTTGCACCTACGGATTCACGATTCCGACCCGATCAGCGACTTATGGAGGAGGGTAACCTCGACGAAGCTAACATCGTAAAAGTTCAGCTTGAAGAAAAACAGAGACAAGTAAGTAACAGGTGCATTGACAATAGCAAAAAGACGACAGGAGGTAAAATGGGTCCGAATACGAGTGTAATATTAAAAACTCATGATTTCGACAGGTTGTGTATTTAAGTATTTAACTACGTACCCTTACAATCTGTATAATGATGTGGGTATGTAAATTGCGATTTGGACATATCGTACGTCAAATCTTATTTGGGTCAATTTATTCTGTTTTTTCTTTGTCATAGGTGCGCCGTCAACGCGAAGCGGAAGCTGAGCGCGCAGCACGCGAGGGTCGTCCGTATCTACCTTATGAGCCCGTATGGTTTAAGAAAGACAAGGATCCCATTACTGGAAATCCTATCCATATCTATCAGGTATATAGCGATACACGAAACTTTTATACGAAAAAATTTACGAAGTGACTGTTAGTAGTGCATACTCTACTACTGAGCATACTCATGCCGTGATTTGATATGTTTAGATGTGCTTTCTAACCCTGTACTTACTGTCCTTGTCTTTTTACTTTACTTTGTTTTACATCGCAGGGTGAATACTGGAAAGCAAAAGAGACTCAGCAGTGGGAACGCTGTCCCAGCATCTACCTTGATTAAATGACAGCAATCGGAAGCAGAGTCTGTGGTTTAGTTTTTCCACACAGAGTGATATGGAAGTTTGCGAGAATGTTGCCTTACTGTTTGACGAAATCATTAACAGTAAATCACATACGCATGCAAATAAATATACACATTTATTTAGCGTTACGTGGATGCGAGCGTTAGCGACGGAACAAGCGGATGGGGACGGGCGTGAGAGTGGGCGTTGTTACAGAACTGTGAGAAGCTTTTGTGGTGATTGTCATCTTTTTCTTGTGCTCGTCCATCAATACAATCAAACGTCAACGGCGGGACGAACAATATTTAATGCAGAATGCTAAAGCGTGGTCGACTAGTTGGACATTTTGTTGAACGATGGTTGGGCGCGACGCGCAAGACAAACCGTCTAGCCCCATTACCCCCTCCCCCCCCGCGCAAACTGAGCCTGCGGGTGTCCCCTTTTATGAGACAGTCCAGAGAACAGAGTCAAACAAAGCGAGAAAGCAAAGGCGAACATGAGAGAAAATATTGATCAACTCACTAATTAATTGGGTGATTGATTGATTGTTAAGCTAATCGTAAATTACGGGAATGTTGTAACGAGTATCGAATGTACAACAATATTCGAGGAATAGGCGCAGTGTTGATATACAGGATAAACAAATTATTGTAACAACAATTCTATAGAAAGCATCTAATATATTGAGCTATTCTTATTATTAAACTAATTTGCCGTGACTTGTTGTAGTAATCTAATCTATTTAACGATTCGTTATCTGGTAGCGATGACAGGGATTTATACACGTTTATATAATAGTTTGGAGCTTTACTCCAGGCAATTACAGCAACAAAAATGGTAAAAACAACTTATCCCTAGCAATTGGTTAGAATAAATAAAAAAAAATAAATATGAATATTTAAAGTCATTTGCCTTAGAAGTAGCACAATTACTGCTGTGTCAATTACTGCTGATAGCCACGATATATAGGTGGGGGTGGAGCTATATGAGCCGAAATGTTCATAACGGTGTTGTTGAAAATAACCGATGCCACAGGAGAGAACAATTGTATTATTATGTTTGTCAAAAACATTTTTCATGTGGCCGATATGGATATATTACAATTAGTTAGTTTCCGAAAAATATCAATTAAAGGCACCTGTATTGGTTTTCTCATGTAAGTTCATACCATATATGGTAGAGTTATATGGATAGAGGTGAGGCTATATTAGTTGCTACTGATTCTGCACGAAGGTGCGATAAGCTGTTTTGTTCGAGAACTGCGCAAGAATAGTAGCAGCATGAGCACCATTCTTAAAAGCCAAGTTAATTTCTCAGAAGCCTATGTAACTATTTTAATTATGCTTTGTTCTAATATAAATAATTATCCATGATAAATTTTGATCCACGGCTGTAATGGTACGCAAGTCGAAGTTCTCTTCAGCAACAACCACATGTCACGCGTCGCTGACAAAGTATGGTACAACGAGTGCCTACTAAGCTTAGTTGTACCCTGAATCTACTTAGCTCTTTAAATTTCCAGTTTCATACATGCTCGAAATGCTGTGGCTTATATAGCCTCACCCCACTTTAACCCATACAGTTTTCGGGATGGTCATATAATATAACTAAATGTAGTAGCTTTCTTTCAGTTTGTATCGAAAGTATAACTTTGAGACGGGCGGAATTGTGATAAACGAGCTGATCGTTTTGCATTTTTATCGTGCAGAAGTTCGATGAAATCTGAAAAAAGAGCCCTACTTTTTAAACTTTGGATAAAGAAAAGACACAATAACGCAAGTTTATTTAATTTTTTTTACCCTTGTGCATTTACTTAAGTTTTTTTTGGCATTCAAATTGAAAATTAGCGTTTCTTCGTTAGAAAAAACGGAGTAACCTATATAACCTATATCTTATGTGGCTTCTCCTTCCCGTATATCATAGTTGCCTATAAGTCTTGCCTTGATCCGACTGCACAATTGACGCTCAATGTTTCAAAGTTTATTGAGCTGTGAGAATTATAAGTGTTTACCGTTTGACATACCTGATACCAATAAGGACAAGTCATATGTCGCGTTTAATTGGAAACTTTCGTAGAGAATTCCTGCGTCAAAATAATTTTTCATTACTTGAATTTGTACTACATGATCTCGCAAATTCGACTATAGGTTAAGTAACTACCAAGGTAAATATCTGTAATCCTCACCATTCAGCGTTAATTGCATTTATACATTGATCGGCTCCTTTGAAAGTTGATAACGAGCGAAAAGAGACGATGTGTTAGCCGTAACTTCAACAGTGCGTTTCATGATTTTCAGGTACACAACTCATAGTAAGATTAGTCCTGCGATTTCTATTGAGTGTATGTTTATGTTTCGGCGCTGTCCAAACAAAGATTAGGCTATAGATTTTCATGGTTGCCTCGGCAGCAGTGTTGTCACCAGCATTCATGTAGTGGCACACAGCAGCTAGCTAGCTGATGGCTCGTCTTTTCTTTCAATAGAACTTAAGAGTTGACTTGTTTGTCTGTAGGTACTGAGCCTAGCGTAAAATTCATCAAATGGGAACTAAGCAACAAATTAGGTGTATCCCTGTCATAGCTGTACAATTACCTCGTATAGTTCAATTTCCATATTCCAGCACAAACTGGTATTTACGTCCTCTGCTCTTTCAAAACGAGTGCACATGGCTCATAGATCAAAAATTGTATTTAAAAAAAAAAACATCTTGCTCTTTAAAACGATCCGAATGTATTCCGTACAGGACTTCGTGAAAAACAACCGAGTTTTTTTAGATTTAGATATCTTCTAATAAAAAGGATCGTATCTTTAAACATCTAATCAGTATCGAATATTCGAGAATTCTATCCTTATCTCTGCGCAAAAATATTAGTAATCTGTTTCGAAAGACTCGCAGCGGTTCAGAGACTACCGCGGTCATCCTAAATCTTTGTCGTCATATGGTACGTTTTGTATGCAATGCTATTGCTGTTTATAATATTAACACTTCACTGACACAAGTTGTAACTTTAACTCGCTACAGACTGGCCCGATTCCTACTGCTGAATGAAATCTCAAAACTAGTGTTGATATTGCGTTGTATGTAGAACGAATAAACACGTCTACTGAGCACATTAGTTTGTCAAATTGTCTTATTAATCATTATGTCGTACTGCAATATTAATAGTACTATATAATAACGTAACAACTGCTAACTCTCCACTAGACAGGCCAAGCTTTATCATTGGCTAGCGCGAATGAGGGTCTCACAGTTACTTGCCTTTGTCTTAAACGGCCGTTGACATGTAAATATTAATTAATGTCATGTTTGTACCATTACAATTCAGGGTGCCTCATTCCACGGCCGATATCTTCTAGCGCCTAATGAGTTTGGTTTCATGCTATCAATCAATCAATCAATATACGTGACCTGTCTAATACTTCCCGGGATCCCTTTGGGTGTAAATTAGCAGGAGGCACAGTTGTCAGTTTTCAACCCAATCCGACTTGCCCTACTACACAAGCTCGCGGCAGCCGGCCCAAATTTTGTTGTCGCGGTAATGTTCGTACTGATAGCCTCCGTCCACCCCAGTCAAAAGAGTTGATGGTTACTTTTCAGCGTGAGATTTGCGAATTCCCGGGGTCCTTCCCCGTAAATCAGCATACGTCGCAGTCGCATATGAGCTTTAGTGCTCTAACCTATATCCCTTTATACGAAAAACAGCACACCATGGGTCGGTGTATAGTTCTGCTAACGCTCAAGTGGCCCCGATTGCAGGTTAAAAACACGTGGTCTATCGTACCTGTACGATGTAGTATACTTTCCTTAACGTCGAGCCTAAGAATCTTTCATCGTTCGCACAACACCCATACTATTGTCACCTACAGAAGACTGAATAATTGATGCGCCATGGTCGATACACTAGGGACGCTATTTTCAATACCAGGAGTACGGGCTGCAGGCTTCATTATATGATGCTCGCGCCTGACAGTGCTGATACAATTGAAGCCTGCCATTTCGGGTTGCTTTGCCTTGTCAACTCCAACCTTTGTTAATGAACCTTGCGCATTAATTTGTCTTTTCTGACAATACAACGACAATAGCGGGTATTCCCTTTTCGCTCGGTGCGCTTCCAGAAGAGGGTCTCAGACTTCTTCGACATATAAATACGCACCTCTCGGCTTAACTTGACGTACGATAGCCTCTGTGATGAACTCAGCTATAGTGGTTGTCCCTGGCGGTTCTTCGAATGTTTCCTTGAACCACGCTGATTTTAAACTTGTTCTCTAGCTCATTCAACGCACGTAAACGGTTTGTACGCTTCCCTGGTTTTTCTATGACAGCAGTTTGACGAGCCGACCTCTTTTAAGGAAAAGCCTTTGTACAGTTTCTTCCTGAAGCTTTCTCACGGTTCCATCGCATCGGCATCGAAGTTCTGCACCGAAATCAAACCAAGCGCACGCCTTGCAAAAATCGACGTGCCTCACGATTTGATTCGCTGGTTACTTACGTTTTGCCGCGAGTCACTCCTGCCTTTAAACCCATAGCTTGGGCTATCTCTCGTCGAACATTACCGGGGAACCTTGGGTAACTTTTTTGCGATTTTAACTGCATCGCCAACCATAGCACCTATGCCACAAATGAAACAGCTTGCCTGGTTGGCAAGAACATTTAATCACTACTAAAACTATCGTTTATGGGAATGTTATCACTGACTTATTCCCTGCTTTTTAAAAAACATCAGTTTCCCTCTGGCAAGGGCATTTATGATGTTGATAATCACCAATTTTCATCAGATTCGAAGGGAGAATGACGAAAACCAGTTCAGAATTTGAAGAAATTCATCGTTTGACTATGTTGTTCTCTTAATTCTGAGTGGATACCAGACACCTTCATATATCTCATATACTTGCCAAGGTTACTACAAAATAAGATGATCAATTATTGATGCTATAAGTGATATAGATTACAGGTATAGCAGGGACCGTGTGAATCAGAACTATAATCAAGAAATAAAAATCAACGTAACTAGAATGATTAAGTGTTTGCATGTCGTATTTGCTCATGGTTGTTCACACAACAAACGTAAAAACCGCTTTCTGTTACTGGACAGCTGTGCGGGTCACTGTCGAAATAGTGGTGCCATATAGTGGGCAGTGTGGTACGTCGACGCACCGCACGAGCAGCAGCGGCGATAGCAATGGAAACGATACGTAACACGTCGAGTATAATACAGATATGCACGAGTCATCTATAATTAGTGTAGTGTGCAATGCGGCGTTGAGAGGAGAGCGTCTGTTGACGCTGTGGCCGTGTTGCTGTTTGGTGCTGCTGCAGCCGCAGATGCCGTCGTCCAGTCACCCTTTCCTATCGTTTCCCTTGCCCCAATTTTTTCGTTCTGTCGTCCGTGTGTCATTCCGTTCGTCGAACGCTGCTGTTTGCCAATGGCGGCGGCGGCGACAGTTCTCCTCCTCCCCTTTTTCGTTCATTGGCAGCAGCGTCGTTGTAGCTGCCCCGAATTTGTGCCCTTTCCCGTCGGTCCTCTCTTCGCAAGGCCCTCTCCACAGCGCTTCGGCCGCGCGCAATTCTGAAAAGCAATAGCAACACCCAAAGACATGGGTAGGCGTCGGCCGCTGTCTACCGCGTAACACTGACACGCGCGCCCTCTAATGCTGAAATCGGCGTAGGCAGAATTTTGCCGCGGATCCCTCCCCTGACCATGCCGGCACGCCGGGCCTTG